TGGGGGGGGGGTTGTAATTTTAAATCGTTACAAAGGTTTTTTTTATGAATTTATATCATTCATAATGTGATTGCATGAAATCCGGATGTTTTAGTCAGAATTATACCCAAATATAATACGCACAAAATCCGTTAAGTAAAAACAAAAAACCCAGCAATGAGCACTTAAGTAAACTGAGACTGACAAAAGCAACAGCACATAAAATGTACTGAAAACCAACCAATGAAAATCAGGTATTGTGTTATTTTTGTGGTCCACAAGAAATAGCTTCAAAAAATAATAGTATTATAGTAGGGTCAGTAGTAGCATTAGCATCAGAATATTTTAGTTGTAAATATATTAGCTGGTGTGTTTGTCCTTTATCACGTTGAATGACCCTTTCTGACACGAGGCAGCACGTTTCACTTTTGCCTGGGGGCACTTGAGATTTCTTTGCCGTTTCAAGACACCCAGTGCAGGGTGAAGCAAAGCAGCCCCAGAACTTCACTCTGCCTGCTATTGTGGCTTGTCGATATGCATCTCAGAGCCACCCTTTAGTTTTTTTAATCATCTGCTCATTTCCATTCATCCCCATCAAAAGTTTCCAACAATGAAAATTCCCAAATTTTGCAACCCCAAATTAGAGGAACGAGTTAAAAATCCAAACCTGTCCTTTCCTTCTTGTCTTCTTCCTCCAAACAAGCGACGAGGTGGAAGCCGTCCGTCACTGTGAGAGCATGTGTGTGTTTTCTGAACCCAAGTCAAGTGACATCTGCGCAAATGATGCCCTTCCTTTTTCTTTGACCACCCCACACCTCGCTCCCCAGCATTCAGAATCGAATCCCACTTGCTCAGAGCCCTACACCAAAAACAGGCAATTATCGGAGGAGTCAAACCATGGACACGCATCCACCATTGTGTGACGCACAAAAGGCCGCTTGCCGGCAAAACCGCTGCGCACTTCTTAATTGAACCGCTTAAATCGTCATGCTCATTAGCGCATTCTCAGAGGGAAGAGCCTACGTGGTTGCTAGTGCCTTTAATTGACCCGTATCAGACGTGCAAGCACCTTCCAAGGCGGGGACATTTTGGACAAAGGGGACGGACAATGAAGGGCAATTACTCGATTGGAAGAAAACTGGCTTGCGCGGAGGGGACAGAGGTGGCGAAAGCACTCCCGCTCCAAAGTGGAAGAGAAGTAGAAGTACATGTTTGTGTCAAAAGAACTGCGACCATAACAACAGTGAAGCATGGTGGCAGCGGCATCATGTGTTTGAGTGAGCTAAAGTCAAGTGTTGAACTCAGTGGCAGCACAAAGTCCTCATGCTTTTGCTCAGGGATGGCGCTACGCTCGGGCTAACTGGGGCGATAGCCTGATCAGATATCTGTGTAGCCCCAGTGAAGCCTCTCCAACATGATATTTAAAATACATCAATCAATTATTTTTTCAGTCAATCCCCTCTCTAGCACTAGGAGAGAAAAAAAATCCTGGAGCCTTCACTGCTTCTGCTGGAAAGCAAAAAAGAAAAAGTCACCAAAAGCCTACTAGAACAGCTGAACTTTATTTGGGGTGAATTAAAATGGTGGCAGGTGTGTGTTGATTCTAATTTAACGTGTTTGAATGTGACTGGTCAATTCTCAACATAGTCCCATCCTCGGTTATAAGAGGGTGTGTACACTTATGTAACCACATTATCTTGTTTGTTTTTTGACTAAAAACGCAAATAAACACCGCAACATTTCGACAGCTTTGCACAGGGGTCACATTCATGGTGGAAAAAGTTTCCTTGGTCGAATTTTTTCATCCCTAAACCTGTCTACATACTTTTTAGATCCGCTTGGTTGAAAAAGTAATGAGCCCATTTTAACTGAGTAGACAGTGGAGATATCTGTATTCAAAAGTCGGGAGGAAAAGTAATGTTCACAGACAACAAGGGGTTAAAAAAAATCCTGGAGCCTTCACTGCTTCTGCTGGAAAGCAAAAAAGAAAAAGTCACCAAAAGCCTACTAGAACAGCTGAACTTTATTTGGGGTGAATTAAAATGGTGGCAGGTGTGTGTTGATTCTAATTTAACGTGTTTGAATGTGACTGGTCAATTCTCAACATAGTCCCATCCTCGGTTATAAGAGGGTGTGTACACTTATGTAACCACATTATCTTGTTTGTTTTTTGACTAAAAACGCAAATAAACACCGCAACATTTCGACAGCTTTGCACAGGGGTCACATTCATGGTGGAAAAAGTTTCCTTGGTCGAATTTTTTCATCCCTAAACCTGTCTACGTACTTTTTAGATCCGCTTGGTTGAAAAAGTAATGAGCCCATTTTAACTGAGTAGACAGTGGAGATATCTGTATTCAAAAGTCGGGAGGAAAAGTAATGTTAAAAACAAATCAATAAATGACCCATTTGTGAATATTTTCTTTCCAATATCGTCCATGCAGCCCCACTTGTCTCAACTCTCTGTTGTAACATACTGTTGTATGTTAGTTGCTCCATGTACAGCACTTTGTGTGCAGCGATGGCTGTTTGAAAATGCTTTCGAGTTGAGTTGAGTTGAGAACTCTCAATGACTGTACTCGGGCACCCCTGCACGACATGTTCTGCATGTATGGGCGAGTCCATTTTATGGGCAGTATGGAGAAAATGACACCGCACGTCGAACTTCCTCCCGACTTCTCGTGCTTTACTGTTTTGAAGGTCTATTTTGAGCGTCACACATGAGCTCGCGAGAGGCAGCTCCATTTCTGTCTTCAGCTCTTACACGGTGGCAAGAGTTCTCTTTCTGCTAAGTCACTCAAGCGCTTCAGAATGAATTTAAAAGCACAGAATGTGTGTACTTTGACTCACAGCAAACTTTGTAACTGTCATGAACTTTAAGTAGCTTGCGTTACTCTTTTTTTTTTTTAATCAGATCATTGTAGCAAGCTGACATGTTATCGCGGGGGGAATGGTTGAACTTTGACCCAGTGAGAAGGGCCTCCGAGATTGATTTCAGCTCCTCCTCGTCCAACAGAGTCGTGGGAAGGAGTCTCTCTGGGCCGAGGAAGTTGGCAGAGGAACCACGTTGGGAACTTAAGACAGCAAGGATTGTAGAATTTCAACCTCCTCAGTTCAGAATTATTTTCAAATCTGGGCTTTCATTCCAATCAGTCCCCTCTCACTGTTTGTAAGCTTTCGAACATGAACAGGGCCCAGGCTGCATTCAGGGCCCACCCGTACATCAGCAACGTGGTCGGCTACACGGCGCTGTTCTCCTGCGCCGACCTCTTCCAGCAGCGCGTGTTACGCCGCCAAGACAGCTCCGCCGGCGTGGACTGGCACCAGACAGCCCGCGTGGCCACCGTGGGCTTCTGTTTCCACGCCAACTTTAACTACCAGTGGCTGCGCTGGCTGGAAAGGATGCTGCCTGGGGGCGGGGTTAAGGCGGTGACGGGCAAGGTGGTGGTGGATCAGCTGGTGGCCGCCCCGCTCACCATCAGTGCCTTTTATATTGGTGAGTTGCCGATTGAAATCATCTTATTTTGTTCAGTTCAAACGGTAACTCTGGTAAGCGATAACAGTGATTTTTTTCCACGTGTATTTAGGTTATTCTGCCTCCTGCTGTTACATTTGAGAATTGCATTGAGTGGCAGCAAGTGGTTCACGTCGATGTCGACGGAGTTACGTCTTTTTGAGAAAAGACACGAAAGCGTGAGGTGCATACGGAAAGAGCTTCGATTTCTTTTCATTACTCCTGTGTCATTGTCTATTTTTGTCAAGTGTTCATCAGCGATGGACGCCTGGGTGGACAATAAAGGCTGGATGGACTCGTCAAGTCTTTCTAAACTAAGAAGAAAACCTTCAGGAGTAGTTCCAGTTCCAGTACACTGACTACTTCACTGATTTCTGCTCTTCTTTTGGAACGTCACCCCCGCGATAATGGAGGGAGGGTTCCCTGTACAGGACTTGACATGGAGTGGGTCAAACTTGCTTCAGTAAACTGCAGTAATACTGGTTATTCTTCGCAGAGGACAAAGCCAGGATTTCCTTTACTTGAGCCTTTTTATTCATTGGCCAGTTTGATTGTTATGGTTACGCCCAATGAATTCTGCCTCGCAACAGCATCGTGGTGACCTGGGGAAAAAAATCCAGAGGGATTTACACTGCTGCAACTGTTGGATTTTTTAAAAATGTCATTCGTCAGGAATTATCAGTGACTTTATTCTGCGTTCAGTATTTTACAACATTACTGCTGGAAAGCAATCATGCACAACAAGTCACAATTGCATAAAATAAGGTCTTTTAAGTTTGTATATTGCATTGTGCTTTAAATAGCTGTGTCCTGATTCATAGTATTTGATATCATGGGATCTCGAACAATGGTCGTCTGGCAATGTTGTCTTAGATCCACCACCGGTCATCCGAACAATTTGTCAATCATGTGTTGGTTCTTCCTGCGATTGGCTGGCAACCGGTTCAGGGTGTCCCCCGCCGACTGCCCGAAGACAGCTGGGACCTCCAGCACCCGGAAAATGATGGAACAGAAAATGGATGGATGAATGTGTTGGTTCTTCCTTCTTTCAGGTTTGAGTTTCCTCGAAAACAAAGATAATCTTTTTCAAGATTGGAAAGAAAAATTCTGGACGTCTTACAAGGTACACATTTCAATTTTGGTGGTAATTGTAGAGTGCTCTAAAATCAATGTTCTTGATGTCTTTCTTCAGACTGGTGTGGTGTTCTGGTCGACAATGCAGGTGAGATCTAATTGGTTGCTCACCTACTGTCAAAGTTAGATTTAAAGCTTCAGCTTTAACTTTAGTTACTTCCCCCACTCCCCACCATCATCATGATCATCATCATCATCCCAGGCTGTGAACTTTTCCCTGGTCCCCCCCATGGCTCGGACGGTGTTCCTTGGGGGAGTCGCCCTCGTGTTCACCATTTTCCTGTGTCACCTCCGACAGCAGGACCACAAACTGGAATGAATTTTCGCCAACTTTTGTACTCAATGGCCATCTACTGCACTGTTGTTATTTTTTTTCTTCAAGATTTTAAAAGCGTGTCGAGTTCAATTTCAGACCATTCTAATCAGAATTCTAATGAGATTGTCACGTGTGATTAAAGCCCCATTTTAAATGTCATATGGGTTGTTTACCTTTGATGATTTCTTCTATTTTTGTCTTCAATAAGTGACCTTATGCAAATGAGCATTACGTGTGTAATACTGTATTACAATATTATTTGTATTAACACAAAAATAATTACTATAAAGAGTGTGGCTCTTGATCTGCTCAATGTGTAAAAAAAAAAAAAAAGCTATGAGTTGGTGCTGCACAGATGAATTTGAGAGTGTAATATCAGAGGCTGTTGTAAACGATAAGTGTTTCTTATAAAAGCTACAAATGTTGCTACATAATTTGTTTGTGTCTTTTTATGACATTCAACGAAATTAATCGACAATACAATGCAATACATCTTTGTTTATAGAGCGCTTTCACAACACGCTCTGCAGCTGTAAAGGGGAAAACCACGGAATAAATGCATCTTTGTTGTATTGTCATAGCACGGCAGAATTGTAAATAGTTAATCATATTTTGTGTTTGGGTTTTCAAGAAAAAGTAGGTTGATCATGTTTCTTTACTGACAGATAGTTACGCATACTCAGATTAAAATATCGTAACAATTCTTTTTTAAATGGCATATACTGTAAATAGATGCTTTGATTTATCCTGTCGCTAGAGGCGCCGTTCAAAATTCCACCCAGTTTTTGCACGTGGATGCCTACCGGAAATAGTGCTTGTCTTTAACCAATCAGAGACGCGAGATTTCCGTGCACTGTTTATCGCGAGACCGACGCTCTTCCTTTTCCCTTTTCCCTTCGAGTCCAAGATGGTAGGTGCCACTAGTTTAATTTTCATGATACGCCAGTTTGACTATCCACCGTCATCCTCCTAATTGTCACCGCGCAACATCTTCAATGTGACATTTACCGATTGTGGGAACAGTTTACATTGCGATGCAACCGCTATTTAGTGGTATATGTCCTTCCTAATCACATTAGCTTCGTCTCTTCTTGCCCACAGCTAGCCAGACTAAATCCTTGACGGCGCACACAACACACCTTGAAAAGAGGCTCTCGATGTAAAACAACAAGGTCCAAGCTGAAGATACGAATGTGTCATGCGGTGGTGATGGTGGTGCTACACCCCTCATCTTTGCGTTGGCCAACTAATTAGCCGCGAGCGCTTGAAAGTCAGCGTGTACACCGACCTGTTCAAATATCGCGATGCGCCTCGTGTAGTTCCTTTCAATTGCATGTTAAACGCGAAAAAACAAAAAGTCTTGTATTCGTGGGTGGAAAAAGCCCTGGTCCCAGTTTGTACCAAGCGCCTACTAGTTCAAGTCGAGGTAATGAATGAAGGTGATCTTGTTCATTTATGTGTGTTTCGTGATTCCAAAAGGGAGTTGACATCAGACATAACAAGGACCGTAAGGTGCACAGGAAGGAGCCAAAGAGCCAGGATATCTACCTGAGGCTCCTGGTCAAGGTAAGTGCATCACACACAGATGTACACTGAACCTCTGTTGATCGCCGGGGAGATGTTTCTGACCCAACTTTCGATTGATGACAATCGGTCATGTCAGACCATATGATGAACACCCCCCCCCTCACTCCCGTAAGCGATAATTACATTTTAAAATACTGCATATTTCAATTGTATTTCTCAGTGCTTGTTCTCACTCTTACTGTTAACAATCTCTGATGATTTTAAAACCTCACTTTGAGGTATCGAAAATGTGTTCATTTTTGCACAGTTATCCAAATCAGATGCAAGAAGTATTTTCTTCAAGCTGTTTTTACCCCACAGTTGAAGTTTAGTGTAAAACTTGACACAGAAACACAAGATAGAAACAAAGATTGCATGTTTAAACCTTTAAGTGTCAAAGTAAACCATACAGTTTTGTCCAACGAAGGTTCATGAACTTCATGTGGGGCGCCATTGATGGGCTAATGGAAATTCTAACCCTTCAAATAATACATCACTACTAGAACGGATACGGAGCACCAACATGTTCGGAATGGAACACAATAACATGTCCTCAACATGGTTTGCCTTGTAGCTGTACAGGTTCCTGGCCCGTCGCTCCAATGCGCCCTTCAACAAGGTTGTCCTGAAGAGGCTCTTCATGAGCAGGACCAACAGGCCTCCCATCTCCATTTCCCGCCTGGTCAGTCTTCCCAACCTCACACTCCTCATGATGAAAAGACCAAGTCCGAAATGTTTAATTCATTCAAATTCTTGTATCGTAACCTTGTGTACGAGTTAAAAAAAAAAAAACAGGCCTACTGGGGCTTCACTGAAAACAAAGAGAAGTTCCTTCATGCGGGCCGAAACCTCATAAGTCACAGTTTGGTAAATTTTGACTGCAGCAGGAGCAAAAGATGCCCATACTTGCCTGGATGGATAGATGGCTCCGTTTCATAAAACAAAATCACCGAGCACCATGGATGTGTTGAGCTTGAATCCTCTCGCGGCCGCTCAATTCTCACGGTCCTCAGCGTAGCAGATAGCTCGCCGTTTAAACACATACACACACACACACAGAGTTGTTACGGATTGCCGAGTCAAAGATGTCGATTTGTGTCTCGTTCCAGATCAGGAAGATGAACATGGCCGGCCGCGAAAACAAAATCGCCGTCGTCGTGGGAACAATCACCGATGATGTCAGGATCCAGAAAGTGCCCAAGCTCAAGGTCAGCAGCCACTTCGCATTTCCACGACTTTGTGTGGGCGCGACTCCTTCTGTGCCTGAGTGTGACACTTCCAGTCTGTGTGTCTGCCGATGACACTGGAAGCGCTGTGCCATTGCGAGGCTTGCAACGGGATGTTCTGAGTGGGAAATGGACATTGAGTTTACAGTGTCATCAGCCGGCTGCAGCACGCACAGACTGGAAGAGTTACAGAAAGGTGGAGAACTTGAATATTTTTTTTCTTTTTTCCCTGGATCCAATTCCTGAATGCCGAATAGCTCTGACTTTTTGGGAGTGTCCACGCTTGTGTCTCTGACTGTGACGTCGCTCTCTCAAGGTGTGCGCTCTGAGGGTGACTGACGGTGCTCGTCGCAGGATCCTGCAGGCCGGAGGCCAAGTAATGACTTTTGACCAGCTGGCTATGGCGACACCCAAAGGACATGGCACAGTGCTGCTGTCTGGTAAGGACAATGCCGCGCATTTTTCAGTGCTCGGGAAAGGTCATGATTTAGGCTGCGCTCGCGACGCACCGCGTTTACAGTGAATGCGTCGCACGGCTGAAACTCAAAGCAGCATCGTAATGAACAATGCAATTTTCAAATCCCGAAGATTGCGATTTGAAAACAAAAACAAGCTGCTTCGTTTCAGTCGTTCAGTGGGTTTATATTTTTTCTGGAAACATTTTTATTGCTCGTTTCAAGATAAGCTGAATGTCTTAAGTGGCGTAGTCCACATATTGACATTTATGTTTCATGAAGAGTGGAAATGTAAGCCACGGCTTTGCTTGCTCTATTGTTGTCATCGGATTTATAACTTCTAGGCTTGTTTTCGCTCTGCCTGTTTTGTACAATTGTGACATTGTCCCCGTGAATGCAAATCAAAAGTGTTTACAAAGATAACAGCTCCAATTGAAGTAGATGAACTCTTTCATCTTGATTAATTAATGGTTCTTTTACCATTCATTTGAGCGTAACTTTCACCCAATAGACCAAAACATTTATGTGTCATAAATCTGAGATTCTCTATTGTAATACAGATGAAGTTATTGCTTGTGTATGTTAAAAAAAATACATGGGAAGAGGACCTGGAAAAAAAGGTCGCATACGAAATCACAATATTGAGGGGGCAAAAAATGGTATCCTTCAAAATCATACTTTATACACACTCAGCGTCTCGTGACTTCTTGGCTGATTCTGAGAAGCTGCACCTATTGTGGTACTGCACTTGGTTGACCGAGGCAGTCCTGCTGTGTTGTATAAATTGTCAGTGTGCAGATGTCAAACATGTGGAAAGTGTGCGCTCGCACTCCCTTTGTGGTGGTCAAGACGCGAGCCGCTGTCGTCCGATCTCCAGGGATGGATGTTCTTTCCGATGAAACTTTAATCCGCAGCCACTTGCTACCGCGAATGCGTGTTGTTGGTCCTGAGCCAAAAATTACAAGAGAAAAGACTGCTTGAATTGATTTTAGGCTTCACAAGCTCGTGGGTCACTTAAGTCAACGTCATCAATGTGCCCGAACCCCAAAATTCTGAGAACCTTTGGGAACCTCCACAGCCGCATGTTGATAATTTTTGTAGACGATGGCAAACGAGATAATAAAACCACACCTGAAGGCCATGAAAATGTTTTTCTTTTTCAGGTCCCCGTAAGGGCAGAGAGGTCTACAGGCACTTTGGAAAAGCTCCTGGAACTCCTCACAGCCACACCAAGTATGTGCATTTCTGATGATCTTAAAGCCGTCATTATTCTGAGCAAGTGTTCCTCAAAAACAGCTTTGTATCCCCCAAAATCTACATTTAAATTGATTGTAAGCCACTCCAATATTTTGCACAATATGAAGACTGCATTTAAATAATGTCGTGCACATTTCATAAATGTGTACCAAAATGTGTTTTTTAACCGTTCTTTTATAGATGACATTCAAATATATTTCACATCAGTTAAATACAACGGAACTGTCATGCAATAAAATGTTCGCACGCCACCCGCGGTGGCCAAATGACACTTTTGAGAATCCCTGGTTGAAATTGTTTCAAGACCAAGCTGACCTCATTGGCTTTGTTGCTATCGTCACTTTCTTTTTCTTTTCCAGGCCCTACGTTCGATCCAAGGGCAGGAAGTTCGAGAGAGCTCGCGGTCGCAGAGCCAGCCGCGGCTACAAGAATTAAAGTCTCGCTTTGTTGACCGTGCTTTCGGTTTCAAATAAAAAGACTGGCTGTACAAAACACTTCCTCTTTTGTGTTCTTTCCTGCCCCTTATATGGTGCCACTGCCACAAACTTTGTGTGTGCAAATTCTTGTAACATGACCTTCAACAACGATACATTCCTTTGAGCAGCTTCGGCTGAAAGCGCGAGGGCAAGTCATGGCTCTGCGTGGAAATGATTGGCTGCCCAGGCATTTGATGGAGGCGTTCGGGTCCAAACAGGAAGTGCGCGATGGTCCGTCACTGATTGGAGAATGTCGAGGGTGTCGCGATGTTTTCCATCTCGCCATTGGGTTTCCTTTGCGCCGCTCAACGCAGCAGCAACAACAGCAGCAGCACACCGCTTGGCATAGAAACGAACCGCTGTCCACGGCAGACAAGATGAGGTACGGCGCCGTCTTCTTCCATTTCGATCATAGCGGACTGCTTGGTAATCTCGCCTTGTTATACCTTTGCTCGGGAGTCCAAACCTAACCTCGCTAGCTGACGTTTTAGCCGACTTCCATGCGACTGTCAACGTAGCTCGTCGTGAACCTACAAAAAAGGAGCTTTGAATGCCTTCCGAATATATCCTAGGGCTCTTTTAATTATCTATCACTTTGACACCGAATCACTTGACGCTTTACGTTTCAAGACAAGAAGCAGCCAGTTAGCTTCCAGTTGTCGCATCGGTACTTTAGCACTCTTGGCTAACGTCAAAACAAAGTCGCCAGAAATTGCGATGTCATATCCCAGGACAAATTACAACGCATAGCGTGTGGTTTAGTTGCTCGGACTTTGAAATGAATCTCTATCGGGATACCAAGCGCCGAGTAGCCTGTCTGGCTAACATCCGCGCAACACCGGTTAAAGTTCAAACATGAAGCACACTTAGTTTTCAGTTTGACGCTAAAATTGCCGCCCCCCAAAATGAGTGCATTTTTACGGAATCATCAATTGTCAAAGGAAAAAATATGGTTCACAGAGGAGGTGGTGTTGCGTGATTAATGCGTTTTTTCATTAATTCGAATTTATCACTGGGGCGGGGGGGGTACAGTCTTAAGTCAAACCCAGTACAATCACTCACTGAATCAATCAATCTATCAATCAAAGCCTTTGACCGGAACACAAAACCATGGAGTCCGGTGTGACTCTTCATGGGTGATCTGGCCAAGAAGACAGAGCACAAATAACGGCATAATCACGGTACGATGAATACATAAAAGACAGTAGACATAAAGGCACTCGTCCCAAAGAGGATAAAAGAACAACAGTACGGTGTCAAACAGAAAACTGTCACTCGGCTACCACCCGCCCAGAATTCAAACATAAAACTGCGATATTTGGCCATCCACCCAGAATGTAGCGCAGCAAGTACAGAGCAAATGTATATATTGCAAACACAGCAAAACAACTGCAGTCGAGCCTATTGTAACACCCTGAGGAAGATTACAGTACATGATTTGCATTTCATCAGGGCCCAGAAGATGCCCATGCCCACTAAAAATGTTTTGTTTACGACAAGATTATGAAAGGTAATCAGTCCATTTTATCATACATGACCATAGACATAGAGCCCATTTTTATGGAGCAAAAGCACCGATTGATCAACAATTTTAACATGAGGTTTGTGCTTCCAAGCCAAAAATATTTTGCTGGGGCCATCTTGCTTCACCTGTGCACGCTCCGAATGTGAGAAAGGACAAGAGAGGTGGAGGCAGTTCAGCATGAGTCTCGGACACCAGATGTATAAATTGAGCAAGGCAGTTTGATGAATGTTATTGTTGAGCGACTAACAATATGATGCAGTCAGGGGTCAAAAGTGAGAGCTTGCCCTCACATGCCCAAAATACCCCCCACAAGTCAGTCCACAGCAACTTCATTGTGTCGGATTCCAAATTAGCTCATTGCTTGTATTCTTATTTGACGGGTCCACGCCCTGCTTCAAGGACCAAAGGTGCAACAATGGCCGCCCGGCTGCTCCTTTTGGAACGCGAGCCTTATCAAAACAGGACATCGGCCAGGCATTGATTCTGTCTGCGCGCCGCAGCTTGCATAATGTTTCCTGACTGTCGTAAAAGTTGAAAGTAAGAGATGACCACCTCCAATAGTTGAGCAATGATCGCGCCAAGCGTTGTACTTTGACATATCAAAGCAGCTTTGAACTGTCATATTCTCCGGCGCATTTGTACGCTACGATGAAAGGTCTTCTCTCAGTGCATCGAGACTTTTTTTTTTTTTACGTTCATGATATTGGCCTGAATTCAAAGAAAGCTGAGTCATTTCTCAGTGCTCAGTTTGTTTGCTTGTCATTTAGCCAGCCAACAAACATTGCGTACATTTACCCCCCCCCCAAAAAAAAATACATAAATAAATTAAATACACTGATGGAGGCCTAGCACTCGCATCAAACTGCTTATTGTCGCACCCAGTTGAAGTTTACCGTCAAAGTAGTGCCTCAGGAAAGTTTGTGAGCTTAATGCTAACACACAATGCATATATATATATATATATACACACACACACACATTGTAGGTATGTGTGTGTCTACGTACACAGGGTCCGACATTCACGGTGGCTTGATGGCCCTAGGTCACTATGTGGCCAGCTGAAGTTCTCTGACAGTTTTAAAATAAATGCAATAAAAACAACACATTCTTTCTTTATATTTATTATTCAATATTTTCAGTTTTATCCACTTAAAACGATCAATCGTCATTGATTGTATCCTTCCTGTGGAATGGATTACACAAGATAGAAAGCCCAAAGGGGGAAAAAAAAAAAATCTGTACATTGCGACATTGACAGCCAGCTACCCTAACTACAGTAGTAGTATTTGCTTTTTAATAAAGAAGAGTATGTATTTTGTTTTTGCCTAGCGGCCACCTCGATCATTAAAACTTAACATATTATATCGTGAGTATAAGGGTCAGCGCTGGTTCTGGCAGGGCCACCGCAACATGATTGGGCCACCAGCCAAAAAGGCTTCATGACATCGCCTGCTTCATATCATTTTCAACATAAAAGAGCCCGTGAGAACTCGAGTGGACCTTCTGCATTTTGAAAGGGAAAAGACAAAAATGACTTCCTCAAATGTAATTGTAGAAATGAAGTCAAACGGCATCATATCCTTCGGATGGATGCTTGTCAAGCAAAGTCTGCAAGTCTCGGACTACTCGTGACCGGCGTCATTGCGGGCAGATGCGGTTCGTTGTCTCGAAAGCTTTTGGCCACGGTGCTTGTTGTGTGTCAGCAAGTTCCCGGTGATGATGATGACTTTGACTCACAATGTGGCTTAGCGAAAACAAAATGAGCGCGTCATGCAAGGTACCCGCCCACATCTTCCTCTTCTCACCGGTTTGTGTGAAGAAGACCCAAATTTTCTGGATGGTGTCAACATCATCGAGCTGGACTTTGATCGGCAGCGTCGCAAAACGGCTCATTTTACCCACACAAAATGGGAATTCCAAACAGATTGCCCTGTAAACCCTCCTCGATGGAAATGAAACTCAAAAATGGGAGTTGGGCTCCTCGGAAGCAAGCAAAATTGCCAAATATCGCAGTCGACTAGAAAACAACGCTGTCATTTGGTGTCTTTTATGCAGGCGGCCAGACGTCTGCGAGGGAAGGTGGCGCTTGGAATTTTTACCATGACGAAGAGCCACCTGGACCTGTCTGCCTGTTTTTCTTTTGCCTTGTGTGTGTTCCTTTTGGTTTGTTTGTTTTGGCCTCCTGTCCGCCTGTCTCTCTGCTGTTGCCGCCACCTAGATGGAGGACAGATTAAAAAAAAAAAAAAAAAGACGACGATACTCCTTGGCTATTATCATCTCGTCAAAATGAAGAACAATCCTGCACTTTTTCCTGTCCGTCCAGCACGAAACAGGCAGCCTCATCACAAACGCGTTTATTTAATGAGCTTTTTTTTTTAGCCTCCTTGTGGAGTCACGGTGTTGATTTTGCGTTTTTTTTTTTTTCTAATTTACTCATTTGATCAGTATTCTCAGTGGAACTTGATGCGTCTTTAATTATTTTAAAATGTCTATCTTATTGATGTTGTAGCTGCTAAGTCGCCTGAAGTTGTGATGTGTTGTTTTCGTTTTACCTCGTGGATCTGACCTGTTTGAAATGTGTTCAACAATGACCTGACCGAGACTGAACTGTGTAGATCCTTATCTCAGCGACACACTGGAAGCTTCCATTTTGTCACGATGACTCGGAAACTGTTGGCTTTCTACTCCAATGCAGACACCGAGAAGGACACATGGGAAGGAAATGTTTTTTCTTGTCAACGCAAGAACTGAAAGATCTTCTTTTTTTTGAATCATTTGAAGTTGGCCTTGCGGCTTTTTAAACATTTAAATTTGTAAACATTTTTTTTATTTGGCCTTGTTCAAACTGGTCCACCTCCGGCAAGCGAGGATGCGCTCCCCAGAACCGTCCTCCTTCCCCCCATCGGAAGCCCTCCTTCACGGCCAGTTTGCCGGCTGGGCCTCCGGCGGCAACAACCACTCCAGCAACAGCAGCAGTAGCAACAACAACGGCTGCCCCGACAGCCCCGGCGGCCCGGGCGGGCTCTCCCCGGCCGCCTCGCCCACACTGGCTCCGGCCTCCAACTACGCCCTGACCCTCACGCACGCGCACGTCCACGTCCAGCGCCTGTCGCCGCGTCCGGGCAAGGAGGCCCGTCTGCTGCTGCCCATGTCGGAGCTGGTGGGCTGCAGCTGCCCCCGTGCCCCCGCGCCCCCTCTCCTGGTGCTCTACTGGTACCCGCCGGGCAAACGACGTAAAGGGGTGTCGCGCCGCCGCCAGGTGAGGGCCTACCTGGCCGAGAGCAGAACCGAGGCAGAGCGATGGTCGGCCGCCGTGCAGTGTTTACTCCGGGGGGTGCCGGTCACGTCTGAAACGGGTGAGGATGCTCATCGCATGCGTGAGTAAGGTTGTTTTAGTCTGCGTATAAATGTTGCCAAAGCAACCAGAGTTTGTCGTTGCATTCGTCACATCTCGGATGCCTGCAACGCGCTTGACTTTGGAGTCGGCCAGTCCTCCACCGAGTTGGTGGCTGGAGTTCACTACAAACCTCTTTCCTCTTGCTTCCATTTTGATTCCGGCGTCATTTGTAAATGCTTGCTAAATATAGCTTCCTGTCATTGTGACCAAGACATGAAAGCATTTTTGAGGAAAAACGCCAACCGGGGGCTGTTGGGGGGGGGGGGGGGCAACGCCTGAAATGGC